GGGCAGGTGAATGTTGTTCACCCAAATGTGTTATAATTGGACTCCACGGGTCCTCATTTTACAGTCTGTTGCAATGTAATAAAGGGAGTTATCTACTTCATCTATCCATCCAATTTCTGATCTGCTGATCCTCACAAGGGTCGCGGGGTGTGCCGGAGCCTATCCCAGTTGTCTTCGGGCAGTCGGTGAGGGACACCCTGAACTGCTTGCAAGCCAATTGCAGGGCACACAGAGACATACAACCATTCGCGCTCACACTCAGACCTTGGGACACTTTAGAGTGTTCCATTAACCTGCCATGCATGTTTTTGGAATGTGGGAAAAAAAACGCAGTATCTGGGGAAAAAAAAACCTACGCAGGTACGGGGAGAACATGCAAACTCCACACAGGAGGGTCAGGGACAAAATTGAACCCACGACCAGTGTCCTGCGAGGTGGATGTGCTCATCAGTTGGCTACCATGCCGCCCACAATACGATTCAATGCATCTTTATTTGTGTAGCACTTTCACAACAGCTGCAGCTGTGACAAAAACATTTAACATAAAATACTAATACAACAAGGGTGGCTCGGTCGTCGACCGGCTAGCGCGTCGGTCTCACAGTGCAGAGGTGCAGGGTTTGCTTCACTTGTCAGTGTGTACTTGTTTCTGTTGGCGTTTTCTCTTTGCTGTGAGTGGAGTTGCCATTTCCAATCTCATCGTAACCTAAGATAAGTGAACCCTAAATTGAATCGATTTTGACAATCTAATACATTTGCAAGACGTTCATTTTATTCATTTATTTATTTATTTATTTATTACTAATCTGTCTCCTTAGTAGAAGGGTGAGTTACTGACACCTTGCTACTTTTGTTTAACAGACTCACTTATTTTCCACGTGGAAGAGTGTGCAGCTACGTGTCTTGTCACAGGTCAGCCTGCTGTCTCGTTACACTGCAGTTGAGCTGCTGGAGGACACTGAAGGATGCAGGCGATTCACTTCCAGTGTTGCACATTCTCTCGAACCCAATCTAGTAAAACCCCAGAATTATAATCCCGATATGCTGTCATGATTCATTTTTATTTTGTTCCATATTTTTCGCGGAATTGGAGTCACTCAGAAAGAGTTGTTGCGGCAATGTCGCATTAAAAATGTAATGAGTAGCAAAACAGATGCTTGGGCTTTTCATAATGCAGATGTCTCACGAGTTCTTATTCAAAGGGTCATCAGGCGCCTCTCGCCACACACTTTTCACAGTAGGTTGTTGGCATTTTTGTGCCTCATCGTGTGGAGGTGTAAAGTAAATCGACCCGAAAGCTCTTAAATCCGCTCAAACAATGACAGAAGAGGTCCCAGCTGAAGGCACGTTACCATCATAATGTTGACTAGGAGTTCTGGAAAAAGACACCGCTTGTAAATGCCTTTGCTGTGTGTATATACTGCATACATACACGTAGATGTATCTATATATGTATATTTATGTACGTGTGTGTGTGTGTGTGTGTGTGTGTGTGTGTGTGTGTGTGCGCGCGCGCGCGCGCGCGTTTGTGTATATCTCTGTACATATACACCATATCTATAAATACATTATGGGAATTCAACTGTATTTTCGTGCAAACATTTTTTGTGCTTCATGGAGAAGATGTGAATAATTGATGATTGTACTTTTACAGTGTGTCGTATACAAAGTGGCTTAGGAAAGAAGCTTGTGAACCAGAATACCCTTTTAGCCATTTAAGCAAATCATTCACCGCATTCCAAAGAAATAAGAGCAGCCTTAAAGATTGTTTGTGCTATTGTTTTTATTCACGGTATCATTGCTATTGTTGTTCTCATAAATTGTAGCAGAACAAGAGAAACCAAAACACCCCTCAGCAATCATGGCTTAAGTTTGTTCATGTTGAGAGACAGACAGAGAGAGTGGGAGAGAGAGAGACAGAAAGAGATTCTCACACACACACACACACACACACACACACACACACACACACACACACACACACACACACACTGCGAGAAAGTGGAAAATCTTGATCTTTCCTTTGAGGGCCATATGGAAGGTTTCAAGCAGCCAACCATATGTTGAAGGCTTTTGTCATGGAAATCATATTTATTTGGCACTTCTCTTTGCACAGCCGAGCTGGGCACGTTTAAAAAAAAAAAAAAAAAAAAAAAAGAAAAAGAAAAGAAAAAAAAAACAACGGAGCATGATCAGTTCTTTGAGAATGCACTGAAATGTTGTTGCCTTGTCTTCAAATAGTTTGGAAACCAAGACACTCCCTGATTCATGTGTCCACCCGGATTGTAAAATTGGTACCTGTATTGTTTTTACATAAATAAAAAATTAAAATAAGACAGCATGGCGAGAAAAGAGCAATTCAATGTCTACATGCATATTATTGCTGTGACATATTTACAATTCTATGTACAAATTTGTCAAAGAGGAACAATGCTGCACTGTGTCTCAATTTGCAAGTGAAGAATCAAGTTGATCCGCCACCTTCGTAATTATTGTCTGTTATCTGATCTGCTGCCAGTTTTAAATGCAATTGCGTTTTGGCCCCTTTATCTTCCATATTAAACTGTTGTCGCCAGATTCGCAAAACATTTTATCTTTCTCCCACTGTAAAATATAAAAGCAGTGAGAGTGCATTGCAAGCAGTGATTTGTGCATCAGTTCAAAGTTCAATAATTCAGCGATGTGCCAAATGGTGTGGGTTATTTTTTTATTTTTTTTTTTGCGAGTGGAGATAGGCGACAGGTGGTTTGGATGCTCTCACGCAGTGATTCAGCTGTGGTGCTGAGACAGCCGTCGAGAGGATGAAGCGGATGGATAAACAGAGCGGAAACTCCTCTTTTCTCTTTTTATTTTTCCCCCCTGAGGGTGGGGGTTGGGGAGTGTTTCAGGGTTGCATTCGTTTCGTCCATTTGAAATATGCAAATCGCTGACAGTGCATTTGCCTGCTGGTGCTTGACCTTCCCTTTGGAGGTTGCTCTCCAACTCAATTAGGTTCCCTATCTGCTGTCTGTCTGCAAACACCTGTTATCCTCCCACACTTGGCCGCCCTACGCCAATCTCACTTCAGCACATCTCATCCTCTGTTGGGTGTGTTTCGAGGCAGGTGGGATGAAGATGGCGGATGGTGTGTGGGGGACTAGTCGGGGGACTAATGACGTGGGACTTGGATGAGCATTCGAGCGTGCCGCTTCCCTACCAAAAATTCTTCCAAGCTTCCAAGCCCAATTTATAGGTGCTTAGTTATTTGACGCGGACACCTCCCACAGATAAGTATTTCACGGAGTGGCCAATTGAATGCTGTTAAATCCTTCACTGTCGTCGGTTGCTGCTCTTACACGGCTGCTCTGCATAACAAACAGACACAATAAAACAAGCTTGACTAAATAAAATAGCAGCCTGTCACGGCATCGGCATCATTATTGCTTTTGTACCTTTGAAACCTTGATGTAACACAATCACACCTACATTACTTGGCTCTAATTTGATCCAACATGAAGGATCACGTCTGAGTCAAGGAGTTAGTGATTGCCTGAGTTGTTTTGTTCCAGAGGGACTGGAAAACTGATACTGAGGAGGAGCGTCTGACTTTTGGAGACAAGATGGAGAATATTCTGGCATTTAATTTTCATTGTTTTCTTTTTATTGCCCTAAATTAAGGGAAAACAGCTGTGGACAGTTGTGATTGTGGTACATGTCAGTTGCCATTTCAATAAAGTTATTGCCACGGGGAAAGAAAAAAAAGGAGCTCACCATTGGTTATTTGCAGACCTCTGCAGTGATGCTGTACATTGTTCCTCTTTAAAAACTAAGTCCCCTGGACTCTCTACAGTTTTCCATGCATATAAACATTTTCTTTGTAGAGCAGCAGCATCTTACAAGTTCAATGAATGTTCATTGTTTTAAGTAATTAATAAATAAATACATAGCAATTAAGTCTTCAATAAATACCCCCAGAATAAATAAATAAATAAACACATAATTAAATAAATAAATAAAGTATTCACATGATAATTAGATGCAGCTAAAGAATGGATGGAGCTTTGAGCCACATATAAAGGAGTCACTTTGTAACTGAGGGTGCACGAGTTAGTAAAGCATCAGCCTGCGGTCACTCTGGTGGACGAGGAGAACCTCAAATATCATGTGAGGGGCTCTTGTTCTCGAAAAGACGGTGTCCCGTCAAGGCAGCTTGATGCTTTGCTCGCCACCAAATTGGAGGAAGAACGACTGTTTTCTTTGCTATAGACACAGGGCACCTAAAATGGCCGACCACTTCATCAGGGTGAAACCTGTTACGCAGGCCTCCCGCACATTTGAACAGCACACAGCTCTGACAGAATTCAAACATGTATGACCTGCGATCGCGTAGGGCGTCTTTAAAATGTTTGGAGTACCCACAGTTGCAAAGATGCTTTTTGATCAAGGGATATTGACCACACAAAATATTTTAGAAAAATCAAATATAAAAATAACATTGGTGTGGAAAAGGGGGGTTGTCTTTTTACGTTTTTAAAATGATCTCCCCTTCTTTTTTTTTTTTTTTTTTTGCAAATACTGTTATAGTTCACATTTTCATAAAAAGTTGGCAGTTGCAAAAGAATTAAATTCTTAGCAAATAAAAAGCAGCATAAAAATACAAGAGGTCATTTTGTCTCTAAAAAAAGCCAAAGAACACTGTCCTTTTTATGTTTTTTTTTTTGTTCATTTTCTCATTACTATTTGCTATAAAATATCAGGAATCTAAATATTATTACTATTGATATTAGTATAGTCATTGATAAAAATTCACATGCCAGGCCTCATATATACTTTGTGTGTGTGCGTGTTTGTGTGCGTGCATGTGCGTGCATGTGTGTGTGTGTGCGTGTGTGTGTGTGTGTGTGTGTGTGTGTGTGTGTGTGTGTGTGTGTGTCTGTGCGCGTGTGTGAGAGCTCATGTTGCTTAGGGTTAGGGTATACAACTATCATCTACTGTTTCTATTTGGGGAAGGTTGTTGATTGTAGTTGTCTGTGGACGGTTAGCTACTGTGCAGGGAAAAATAATCCAGCATCTTCTGAAATTGTCTTTGCCGCTGCCGTGAGAGCTTCTTCGTAATCTCAGTGAAAATATTGCTTTCAACAAAATGGAAGAGAATAGGCATGGAGAGCAGAGCGAGCAGGGGTCTGGGGTCGTGAACCTGCAGCAGGGGTTCAGAATTCTGCATTTTCCACACCATTAGTTGTCTGATCCAGAGTCGTCTTCGTCCGCAGATCCCTTGAAGCAAGCCGACTCATAGTGCTTGTTCAGGTAGGACTTGAGCGCGAAGGTCTTATTGCAGCGCTTGCATCTGTAGTGCTTGAAGGCAGAGTGTGTTTGCATGTGGGCGCGGAGGTTTGAGCGATCAGCGAAGGCTTTGCCGCAGTGGGCGCAAGCGAAGGGCTTCTCCCCCGTGTGGGAACGCATGTGACCTTGGAGGAGCCACGGCCGGCTGAAGGCCTTGCTGCACACGTCGCACTTGTGCTTGAGGTCGTGGGTGAGGATGTGCATGGCCAACGCCGGCATGGACACGTACACTTTGCCACAGGTGGGACACTTGCGGGCCATTTTGCTGTCGAGGCTGCGGTGCGTTTGCTTGTGTCTGCTGAGGTTGGAGGAGGTCGCGTACGTCTTGCCGCACTCGTTGCAGGTGTGGCGAGCCGTGCCAGCAACTCCGCTCTCCTGCAGGGTGGCATTGACGCTGCTGCTTCTCGAGCCCCCCTCGCGACCCTCGCCATCTCCCTTTCTTCTCGAGCGCCCGTCGGAGATGAAGAAGGCATCCATGGTGTAACCCTCGTCCAGGGCCTCCGATTCGCCACTGTAGAAGCCGCTGGCAGTCATGCCTGACTGGGGGCTGTCAGGGTGCTTCAGGTCGGGGTCGCAGTACTCGCCCCCGCTGCTCACGTGGGTGTACAGCGGGTCCGACACCAGCTTGTGCTCCATCTTCTTCTCCCCCCGGTATACAGACGGCGTGATGTAATCCTGGATGTAGCCTGAGTCAAGAGACGCACAAAAAAAACAAAAGTGGGCCAGCAGTTGTGATGGATGAGGACATGCTAACCCGGCACTAATTACATGATCATATTGTTGGATGAAACAGTGAAAGAGCCGCACCGAGATAATTGCATTTCTTCCAGATCCCACAAGTTGTACACACAATAGCGCAATCATGCAGGAAAACCTGATGAGCTCAGCTGCGTTGAGGAAGCTGGCAACTTCCCGCTGAGGATAGCTTATTAAAAATCCCCCAGTTGTTGAGGGTGCGGACTTTTTAGATGAAGGTGATTTTATCTACGATTTTTTTTGTCTCTTTTTAGTTATCTAGTTGTGAAAAGACGGCCATAAGCTCTTGCTATCGGTAACCTAAAAACAACGTTCCATTTTCAATTGCCTGCACGGATGCACCTTGTGTCGGACTGGGTATCCTTTTCAAGGATCATCAAGTCTTCCTCGGGGTTAAACAGGGTTGAGATTGATGCAGCAAAGCAGAGGGGGGATGTTTCAATGCCTGAATGCAGTGAGAGATTTTCATTGGCATCATTCAACTCGCTTGTTTCCTTCCTGAAGCAGCTCTCGTGCCAAGAAGCTCAAAAGGCTTACTGGCAAACGAAAATGCATCCAAGAGAGTTCAATGCTTTCGGATGATGTGACTCTTTGGGGGGGGGGGGCGAAATATACCTCTCTCTTCTTGAGGTGGAATTTCTTCCCTGAGAAACATTCCAATGCAGTGTGTGTTGCTAGCAGGGGAAATTGGTGATTGATGGCTTTTTAATGGAACTCAAAGTTTTGAACGGATCAATAGTCAATGCTGTGTAGAAAAGTGCAATTGTTGCGAGAGGACAAAAGCAGCAGGAGCGATGATCGATGGAGCACAAAGATAGTGTGCTTGAGCACTGACAATGTGCGACAAACGTCGGTCTGTGGAGAGGGTCACTTGTTTGATGCAACCAGCATGCTCAAGTGTCTTGAAGAAAGCAGTCGGAAATCAGATCAAGTGCTCTCAGAGTACAATGTCGACGTTGCTCAGGAGTTCCACTACCCCTAATCCAAACGGCCACAGCCATGACACCCAAGCTCAGGCGAGCAGCAGGCCCATGCACAACTGCACACGCTCATGCTGCACACAGATGGTGTTTGTCTGCCGGGCAGTCACGTACAAATACTTTGTAATCATCATTGGCATTGAATAATGGTTCATTTTTTAATTTGTATTATTATTATAAATATAAAATATGCGTTGCCAACTCGAACGTTTAAGTACGTTACAATGCGAATGAAACGAGAGTCCTCAAATGATGTGAGTTATTAGTCTCTTTCTTTTCTATCAGAGTTGATTACTCGTTTCACTGACTCAAGGTCAGGTGTGGAGCTCATCCTTTTGGACCCACGCTGGCCGTATCAGCCTTTCCAGCCTCCTCGACTCATTCCTCAGATGCAAAGCAAGCATGTAATTAATGGACCTTCCCAGCCAGTCCTCTTTGTTGTCGACAGACACTCAAGTCAAATGTCTCCACAATAGGGCAAGAGAATCTCCTGGCGCAGCAGAAATGCTGGTGCCTGATCTTTGCTGCTAATTCATCTCTTCCCACTTTGTGGTCTTGACATTAAAAAAAAAAAAAAAAAAAAAAAAGCTTAAAGTAACAAAAGTGAAGGAATGGAATCTAAAGTACAAGCGTGGGAAGCTTCAAAATGACATTGAATGTACGTATTTAAACAGGAAAGTGTTTGTGGAGGTGGGGTGGGGGGAGACAATTCATCCTCCTTTTAAAAGTGCTCCTTCAGAAATTCCCTGAAATTGTCAGCGGCTGGGTTGAAAAACAGGCAGGCATTCTGGCAGCATGAAGCTGTGGGCTGTGATGCCTCCCTCGCTGTGAAGCTATCCTAACAATTCATAACAAAGACGCACATATGGTCCTCGAAAGAGGCCCACAAAATGGAAGCGGTGAGCGGAAAGCGGACTGTGAGAGTGAAGGTCGCCCTCTGCGCTGTGGAGTGCAGCTCAGGCTGTCCGAGCTGAGCGTTGGCCACGGAGCGGCGGTGAGCCTTTCTTCATGTTTACTGTACAAGCCGTGTCACGTGACAGACCTCGCCGTTGCCCCAAGCATTTTGGTCTCCTTTTTTCTCCTTGCCATCACCCCCCGCTTCCCTCCTGGCCACACTCTACAGCGTGTTGATGTCTCTTGCGGCAGCGATGGGCCTACATGGCTGAAACTCTAACCCCTGCTAGTTTTCAAATGCCCGGAAGGAAGAGAAAGATGCAGCGGAGTGATGGGGGTGGGGAGAATGTGCATGCTCCATTTGGAGGGGAAGAGGGGGGCAAGGGAGGATTGGACCGTGATGGGAAGTCAAGGACAATAACGGCGAAGGACAAATGTACTTGTCTCTCACGTTAATCAGTCTATTAGCTTGCATGATGACCAAATAAAATCAGTTTGTGCTCAGCATTCAGCCTCCACGGAGCTGTTGCAGTCATACAAACACACAAGCGATTAGACACACATTTTGCTCCCGGTTTACATTAGCCGCTCCGTGGCTGTGACCTGAATTGTGTCTGTCCTTCACTTGGAGTTAAAAGAAAAAAAAAACAAAAGTCCGGGAGCAGTGTGGGGGTTGGGTGCTTTGGGGGATTATTCGGGATATTGATGCAAATGCCAGCGAGCCGTTAATTTACACTCTACCGACATGTTATTGGCTGACTGGCTCACGCCGCACACGCAAAAACAAAGGAGGATGCCGTCAAGTGTGCCAATGTCAGGCATGCAGCAATCAGCAGTCTACACATCTTTGACAATGTCTTCAAGCGGGGCAAAGTGGAGGCATGTTAACTCACCATTCTCACTCAGACGGACGCCGAGGCTGGTCACCGAGTCCGTGATGGAGCGTGCGAAAGTGAACGAGTCGTCCAGGTGCTGGTGGTGATTGTTGGTGGCCGCATTGGATGAAGAGAAATCATCAATTTTGATCTTCTTCACCAAAAATGAGCGGGGCATGTTTCAGTGGATGATAACACAGAGCAGCGGAAAACGCATGAGCAAAAAAATAAAGCTTCTGAGGGAGCACACGAGCACGGCTAGCTTGAGGGTAATCCTTGTGATGGAGGCAGCGGCCAAAAATATGAGATGATTCCAAAAAAAATAACAAAAAAAAAAAAAAAAAAAAAAAGAAAACCAGTGGTAAAGCGCAATGCTGTGTGGTACCCTCTGGCTCCCCCAGCGTCCCCCAGAAAAAGTGACAAATGGATAAATAAAAGTGATCCTGTTCAGCACTGGATAGCTCCTGTGATGCAGCCGGGTTTAAAGTACCAGTGAAGAGGAGAAGAGAAGGAGACAGGCACAGAACAGGGAGCGAGAGAGAGAGAGAGAGAGAGAGAGAGAAAGAGAGACTGTCAGACTAGCTGAGATCAGCAATCACGCCAGCCTTTATATGGGGCACAGCCAGTGGAAGATCAGGTGGTGCTACGAAATGGAGCTGCTTAGCTTTAATCCATCAAATGTCCCCGGGGACACACATCAAATTACTAGTGGACCGTCTGTGCATTCACACACAGACAGAGGAGAAAGAACACAGTCAGACCCCCCGCTGCCCCCTCTTTTACCCCAGCCCCCAATCCCTTTGCTCTCCCCTCCCCTGCCTCTTTTACCCCACTTACGCTTCATGCTCAGAGCAGGAGTGAAAGGGGTGGGCAGACAATGAAGACGTGGATGCGAACACACTCAGGGTCCTGTCCCCCATTGTTTTCAGATGAAGTGGCACAGTTTATGTTTGCCGCCCTCATGCCACCTGCGTTACCTCAAACAGTCTCACAGGTTTGTGGCCCTCCGAGACACACGTGCCCACATGTTGAGGGAGGTTATCTCCGGTACAACCGGACACCTTCTACCCCCCGCCACCCCCACCCTCAAAGACGTTGTGGATTCCAGGGCTGTTCATGAGGCAGCGTCAGGGAGCAGTGGAGCAGCTGCACAGATCGGCTTCATCCACGTTGCCGCTGCACAGATGTGTGTCCTACCATGCGTGGCGGCGAATTATCTGATTAATTAATTACATCTTTTTTGATTAGAGTGAAATCTAGAATTAGATCCTTGCTCACGAAATTGGCCACACATCCGACCATCAGCCTATTTTGTCTTTGTGTGGACTTTTTTTTTAGCTTGTTGTGTGAGTGATTGATTATATTAGTTGTGGTGTTTTTCCTCCAAGCTCCACATTGATTCTCCTTTTAGAAGAGAGACATTCATTCATTCAGAATGAATGTGTCTGGAAAACAAGTGAAACAAATGATGCAACTGTTTGATCAACAGGAAACAACATGTTTAATTCTAAGTGTCTTGGAGCTTTAAATGCTGTAAACAAATATTGAGTACTCTCACTTATAATTACTCATGAGTACATAAATTCTCACATTTTTTTTCATGGTATCCCTCACAGTTGGATGATCAATTTGCGACTTCATCATGCAATAATCAATTTTGAAAAAAAAAAAAAAACCTTCCATTCTGTACACTTCAGAGCCTTTCCAAAATGTGTGCATTGATCAGGACACAACTGGTATGTTCATAATTGAAGCTGTATATTTGTTGTGTTCTGAGATTCATGAGAAAAAAAATAATAACAAACTACCATAAAAGGAATCGTATCACACCCTGTGTATCGAGATGCATCTTGAATCGTCTTTTTAGGGAGATACGCACACCCCAAACTCAGTATGATGGAGTGCAGTAGCACACTGCTGCAAATTTACACCCACAATACTGAGCAGAATAGCCAGGGCAAAGGTGTACAGTATCTATTGGATTCAATTTGGTCATGAAACGAAGTCACATTGGAGCCATTGAGTCAGGGCTCCAAAATTTTCACTTAACTGAAGTTACGTACATTGGAAAAAAGTAGCGGTGTGCCCTGTAAATCAACTTGCAAAGCAAATATTTCTTCTTGAGGTGACACAGTGGAGCACCTGGTTAGCACATATGCCTCACAGTACAGAGGTTGAGGGTTCGATTCCGGGCTGTGGCCTTCCTGTGTGGAGTTTGCATGTTCTCCCCGTGCCTGCGTGATTTTCTCGGGATACTCAGATTTCCTCCCACATTCCAAAACATGCCTGAAAGGTTTATTGATCACTCCAGATCAGGGGCGGCCAAAGTTTTTTTAACCGAAGAGCAACCAACCTCCCGCGATCTACCAGTTACCGGACATGCACCCGCAAATATGCACGCACACACGCATGCCATGATGCGCAACAGGGGTAAGTTGGGCTGAGGTCATTTAACGATTTGAAAACAAATAATAAGATCTTAAAAAGAACTCTAAAATGTATAGGGAGCCAATGAAGGGATGCCAGAGTATGAATTATGTGCTCCTTCTTACGAGTACAGTACCAGTCAAGAGGCGAGCAGCAACATTCTGGACCAACTGGTGCCGCGTAATGGAGGATTGACTGACTAGAAAGTAAAGTGCATTACACTAATCCAGCCGAGATGTGACAAAGGCATTAATTACTGTTTCAAAGCTGTTGAGAAAGTAGAGGCTTTACTTTAGTCAGCTAGCTAAGATGGAAGAAGTTGGATTTAACAACTACACCGATTTTCCGGTCCAATTTAAAATCACTGTCCAGTTTAAGACACAAGTTCAAGACTGTTGGCTAAAGACAAGGAGCCAGGGGGCCCAAGTCCGCAGGATGGGATGTACAAGGGGCACTGGGACCAAATACTATCACTTCTGAAATTTAGTGCCATCCAGGTCTTGATTTCCTCTTGACAGGTTAAAAGTGGCCTCAAAGAGAAAGCGTCTTTTTTGCTCAGTGTGACATAGATCTGACAGTCATCCACATAGCAGTGACAGGAAATACCATGTTTCCTTAAAATGGAACCCAAAGGGAGCAGATACAATGAGAACAGCAGAGGCCCCACAATTGAACCCTGTGGAACACCACATGACGGTGTGCCCATTTGTGACTCAGAGCAACCAAGGCTAACACAAAAACGTCTGGCAGCTAAATCGCACCGAAGCCACTCAAGGGTGCTACTGCCAATGCCTAGCAGGTGCTGCAAACAAGCCAACAGAACATCGGGATCCACTGTATCAAATGCAGCAGTTAAATTCAATCAAACCTTTCATTAAAACTGTATTACTGATAAATTTAGGAACTATGTGAGCTGTGGAACTAATGCCAGGATGTTCAACTGCAGAATGTGAAGTGTGAAGCAGAACCAAAAGTATTTAAGAAAATAGCACTGGTTGCACATGCTCATGTAAATGAAAAATGCACTCGCCTCGTCTCAAATTTTAGGGACAAAATGTGCTCATTTAGCGCACTGTGGAGCCTTGTGAGTGTCTACAAAGAAAACAAACTTTAAATTAATGCAACTTGAACAGCCGAAAACCACTGAATGAAGATGAACTCAATGCCATCAGTGATTAAGTGATACGTTGTTTTTGAAACCAGCTATTTTAGCTCTATCTGACATCCGAAGACATGTTGGAGCTGGACCATTGTCATATTTTTAGGAGGAAAATAGGGCTGTTCTGGAGCCGAACCCATGGCAAATTTTAAAGGTTGTGATCGTACACTTTTGCAACATGTGGGACCCCCTCGTAAACGAAATGTTGCATCTCAAGAGGTAATAAAGAATTTTCGTCTTCATGCAAGACCATTTGTTAAGTCCTCAGGTGCAACTGAATGATCCTTCAAGCTTGAGATGAAAGGTCCCATTACTACTCCCTTCTCCATGTTGATGTATTGCGCTCAAATGTCATTAAAGATGCCACAAATTTCTCTGGCCATTTAGGGGGTTATCTTCTCCGCCGCTCTGTATCAGCCTCACCACCAACAGCGACCCTGCGCCTCACAAGGTGACAGATCGCTGCAGTGGGGATTTATTATGCAATTGTAATTGTTCGTTATGTGTTCATGGCACTGTCACCGCATCCGGTTGCCAAGACAAGGACGAGAGAGGTCAGGGCAAGAGGGATTGTGTGGAAGAAGGATTTTGTGTGTGTGGATGAAAATGCTACAAATGTCCTCACTTCAGCACGACTTGTGCCTAATCGCAGCCTGTTGATGTTTGACTTGGTTTCATGGCTGCTTTAGCTTAGACATGCAGAGATACTGGTTGTTATCGGCACAGATACTGTACTCGGACCTGGCTCCTGTCATATACTTTACACTGTTCTATTCACACCTCCCTGATCGCGTGGTGTGCATCTTAGCAGACAGCAAACAGTTTTTCAAAAAGAGTCTACGTGTGCTCACATAAAGCTTTTTCTACTGATGTACACTCTAGAAGTAAACACACAATTGGTAAGAGAATTAAACACGTTTAACCAAAGGCATACTACGTTTTACAAATGCATACTTTCATCTTGGCCATTTTAATGCAAGCACTTAATGCAAAATGCCATAGGCGGGCTACAAATAGCATTGATATAAACGATATAATCCCATAAACCACTACATAAGCATTTGAACACAAATGGTGCAGAAAAATGTCGTCATTGTCCTGTGAAAAAGGCAATTTTCATAATTGAAAAAAAAATTATTTTAATGGGATGTCTGAAACATGGACATCCCATTCATTAATGTAAACATTTTTTGGATTTTTTTAAAATTTACATTTTTTATATATATATATGTATATATATATACACACTTGTAGTCATACATGATAATTTATCCATTAGGGCCTGAGCGCAGAGGTTCAAGGACTCAATTCAGATCACTTAGTTTTGTACTACAGTATTCCAGCAACGAAATTGCCTTATATTTTATGGTCTGCTCAGTAATAATGAGTACCGGGGACTCATTATTTTCAGGCTCTGTTCCCAAAGATGTCACTCTCTCACTGCTGTAATAGAAAAAAAAAATCAAATCAAATAAATACTAAAAATGATCTCCACAGTGTGAGATTTGAGAAGAACAAAAGCTAACTGAGAGAACATCTCTCAGTATATCAAGCAACATTCAAGTGGCTACCAATTGTTTCCACAACTCCGCCTCATCCAGACCGGTGTTCCAGTCCACTTATGGCCCCAAGACTGACGTGGTCACTGCCTCAGGACATTACCATACTAACCGACCCCCCTCAGGCCGGAGGGATGGTCTTCACTCACTCAGCCGCTCTGGTCAGATGATACAATCAGCCTCATTAACATCCTTTATGGTCCTCCAGGGCCGGGAAGCCGACCTGGCCGGCCGAATTAATGAAGTCAATCTACTCGATTTGTGCCTTCGCTCTGTTCCACAAGAGAGAATTACCTCTCCATGGGAATGTTTATTATCTTTTTACAGCGTGATGCCACTTTAATCACGTCAGTTCCGATGGCAACAGAATAGCTCAACAGAGTAAGGAACTTTCAGTGGATTTGCATTGCATTAAATCATGTGTCACACTTGGCTTGCTTCTATGAAGTCACTTGGTGAGAGAGGTGAAGAGAAGCTAAGAGTCCATTCGGCAGAGGCATCTATAATTCACCTCTCTCTTGCTTACTGGGTCACTTCTGTGAGTGTTATTTATTTATTTGTTTATTTCGGGCAGGTGCCGTCTTTGAAAAGGGGACGAGCTGCTTAAAAGCTGTAAAATGAAATATTA